ATATTGAAGAGAGTCAGGCCAGTGGGGATTTTTCTTTATGCCTCAAATCAAGGAGGTAAACAACTAAAGATATTGAGAGGCAATGGACAAAGTCTGTCACTGATGCTGGCTGAAGACACTATTTGTTTTCCAGAGGGAATAACGAAGGAGACAATATTAATTGAAGATACACAATTCCCATTATACAGAGTTAGATTTAAGAGTGACTTAATAAATGGAGAAGTAGTTACAGCAGTGAAGCATATCCCTACGGAAGGAATTGATATTTTTCTTGGGACATGACCAGACTCGTTCATAAATATTGCCCTCACAGAGGGGGGGCAGAACAACTAATGGAGATGACATCTATGTGGGAGCGGTTTTACCACAAAATTCGAATTGCACGGTGGCTCAGTGGTTAGCACTGCTGCCTCACAGCACCAGGAACCCAGGTTCGATTCCACCCTCGGGCAACTACCTGTGTGGAGTTTGCACACTCTCTCCATGTCTGCATGGGTTTCCTCTGGGTGTTCCGGTTTCCTCCCACAGTCCAAAGATGTGCAGGCTAAGTGGATTGGCCATGTTAAATTGCCCATAGTGTTCAGGGATGTGTAGATTAGGTGGGTTTTTGGGGGTGGGTCTGGGTGGAATGTTCTGAGGGTAGGTGTGAATTTGTTGGGCCGAAGGGCCCGTTGCCACACTGTAGGGATTCTATGATCTATGATTCTCTGACCTATGAATGGTTGGTCAGTTATTTTTTGAAGAACCTGACTCCATGTGAATAGAAATATTCACCAGTGAAGATTGAGATATTGAGTCTTCTGTTGGCTCTACATAATTTTGAAATGTCCATCATCAACAATGTGAAACAAATCTCAATTATATGGAGCACAATCCTTTATTTTTTCCTGGAAAACTTCAAGACAACAACTTGGTTTGTTTTGGTGGAGGTTAATTCTCCAGTCATACATTTTAAAAATTAATTACTTGTCTAGAAAAGAAACAAAATAGCACTATTCCCACTATCTCTAAAATAGCAGATGCTTTATCAAGAGCACATCTGAAAGAAACTGAGTGCTATGATGTAAATAAATTTATGTAAAGTACGGTTGCCATATAAGTTGGTGTTTAATATCAATATGTTACTAATGCAACATAGAAATAGAGTTAAAGGAAAATAAAAATGCCTCAAATAAGTAGCACCATGGGTGTTGGTCATTTTTTTTGTGAAGTGGTTTAAAAACAAACTTGGTCAGTTGTTTCGGAACCATGATTTTAAACCTACTGTCCTACTGAACTGTTAATGGAAGTTTGTTTACACTATGGGTGTTTGTAAGTGAACAGAGAACACATTAAGCCGTTAGTTTAGCAAAAGCTAGCATGACCAAGATTTTTAAAAATTGGCTCAAAAGCTTTTGGACGTTTTGAAGAAGGCTTGACTGAAGTCAGATGCAAATACAACGTCTGCTTAAAAAAAGAGAGAGGAGGTTGTTTGGAACAGTTAGGGAATACATTACCTAAACAGAAGAGTTTAGCTTGTGAAATTTCCAGATGAAGAATATTTGGTTGGAACTCTGCAGATTAACAAAAGTCTGAGAAAGTTGTGCGATTAGTCAAAAGGAGGGGCCTCATGGCTTTCAGTACCAGAACTAAAAACGAGCAGCTAAGTCAAACCTACAATTTTGATACGGAAGAAATTTCTCTGGATTTTGATTAATTGCAACCTGATGGTGCTTGGGATTAGATGGGATTTTGAACGGCTATGTGTTCAAAAGTCTTTCAAACTGTGTATTATGTAGTTACCTTGGATTGCTTTCATTTTGCTGGGATTATACCAACATGTACACAATTTTCTACATGTAATGTCTTCCTGTGGGAAAAGGGGACAGTGGCAACTACTGTATGGTTCCCTGAGTAGAATGTCAAAGTTATGGGTAGGAATCTTGATTGCCTGAACTTTCAAACAAGCGACTAGACTTAACCTGCCAGTGCTGAGAAGGGTCTGTCCTCTTTCTACATGCGCAGAATCTCAACCCTTCACACAGTAACCATGAAGTGGCTGTGTTGGGGGAAAAAGTCTTTGCAAATAATATCTGGAAAAAGATGCAGTGATTTTTGTCAAATTTAATTCCGAGTAGCTCCCCAGTGCAGGACTTTGATATATGGGCCATTTCCAGGTATGCCCTCCAAAACAAACATGAGGGTGACATATTCGTGAGAAATGCTCTTCAATCTGCCGGAAACATTTTGGTCTTCCAGGGTAAAAAGAGTTGCCCACAACTGTCTGATAGTTGTAGACTGGCATATTTCACCGTCCAGGGCTAAAAGCTGACTGACGTACTAAAGTTTGGACCTGTTGTCACAAAGGCTCAATGGGGAATACCAGTTTACGGCCCTCTTTCTATTGTACATAGAAGGATTAGAAATTCATTGGTTGCTATCTTTATCATAGAAAGTATATTGTAAAAATTAATTGTAATTAAAGTTCTATTAAGGCACAGACAGCAATATATTCTCTACAAAGAATTTGATCTGTATTGTACTTTAAGCGATGCCCCACCTGAACTGTTATGGATTTTCATTTATAAATTATATTACTGGGAAAAATACTTACTCCTACCTCAGTTTGCATCATCACCCAAAGAAATAAATAACAACTAGAACATTAAACCTTTAATGGGAATATGAAATGGTGGCACTATCACTAGATTCATTGGCTTGGGAGAGTTGCCTCAGTGAAAATCGCTACAGACTTAACTCATAGAAATTGGTCTCAAATTTCCAGTTTGTCCCAGGCATTTCAAGACATTTTTTTAAAAATACTATTTGCACTGCATAACAGATACCACTCAGTGACTTACTTCCGGTTGGTGCAGTATTTGAGACCCAATCGCCAAGGAATGTGCCACCAGCCAACAAATATGATGCCACTGTCCTTAGGGGCCCAGATCGCCTGGAAACACAGGAACAGGCTGATTAATTTACGGTGTCACATTGTTTGACAGACAGTGAGTATATCTGCAGCCTCCAAATTCTTGGAGATACCAATACAATTACTTCTGAAAACAATTGTTTGCTCAAATGTCTGTTCAAACTCATTTGCATTCAATTAAATGCAAAATAGTTTCATGACACACCACAATCAGACTATTCTTTGAAACTTAATTTCTTTGCATTTGAGAAAAATCCTGGATATAACCCGACACAACTTTAATTAGACAGCTGAAAAAGAAATTAATCTGACCAAAAAAAACTAGTTCACCACTTGAATTCGAATAACTGAAAATGATACTAAGAAATACAAAAACATTTATAAATTTTCTTTAGTGTACAACAGTCAGTCCTTTAGTTGAATTGCTCTGTAACTATGAATGAGAGATGGAAAACTCTTGCGGGTGGTTGTCACCACTCTTGCTATTTGGTTTTATACTTTTTAGATTGAGGCATTCAGGCAGTAGTCATTTGCACCTCGCTCCATTCAGCTCCATGTCTGAAAAAGAGGCAGTATTCATATACTGTTGATGTCTGAGAACAGAACTTTATATCACAAATGAAATTGCGACAGAAAATATCTGCTGGGAAGTTGCCTGTGACTAACAGCTTTACAGCATAAAATACAATGAGTCATCTAAGACACCACAAAGTATGATTAAATTTTGCCATTATGGTAAAATTCAATGTTTAGTTTGCTATTGCCACGGTTAAAATTCAGTGCTAAGTTTGATCTTAAAAACGTATAGATTTTTAACGATGGTAGGGAAGTATCTGCTTTCTAGACAGTGACGAAGAGTAGAATGAATAGCAAACAGCCTGGTGTAAAAGGCTCTTGGAGATAGCAAGAACTGCAGATGCTAGAGTAAGAGACAACACAGTGGGAGCTGGAGGAACACAGCAGGTCAGGCAGCATCAGAGGAGTAGGAAAGTTGACGTTCTGATGCTGCCTGACATGCTCCACACTGTGTTCCCTTGGTGTAAAAATCTCCTTTGATACTGTAGCTGGCATACTAACTCCAACATGTGCTCGGCATACATTCAAATGTTCTCACCCCTGGAAATAACCAAGACTCAATACACTGAGAATGGGGAGAAATCAAAACAAACTGTCAGAGGCTACAATAAAGTGTTAAGGCAAAAATTCACTTTTGTACTGCCTGTTATTTTATTTCTATTTTAACTCACAGCACCTCACATTATTCATCTGAGAGAATAAGCTGCAAACACGTACCAACTGGTTTATGCCAGGTACTTCAAGGATGTTCATGTCTGACTGGATAACCAATGCCATAACTTTCCCTCCTCTCTGGTGTGCACGAGCACGTGTGTGCGCGCACAGTCTAAACTAAGGGACTCCAGTGATTGTATGGTAGAGATCAGAAACACATAAAGCAATCTGATCAGTCTATATCATAGCACTTAACTTTGAGCACTCAATACTTTGCCACCTTGAAAGATCATAATTCTGATTGGTGCTACCAGGACTGGAAGCCCAACAAACAAAACAAATCTTTGAAAAACTGCAGAATTACACCAACCTGCCCAGGAGAAATGTGTTCAGGAATCCCCTGAAGCTCAGAAATGTTGTCAGTCTCAATATCCAATATCCACAGTACTGGGGTGCTCTGGTTCACCAGGGCTTCACCCCAGTCCTCCAAGTACAGAAATTGATCTGCCTGCTAAAGAAGATCACAGCATATATAATGCATCAAGGTCATTTGGCAAACAATATCGCTTCATGTATATTCTACACACTATTCAAATGAATCAAGCAACCATCCTACATTTGATGAGATTAGATAAGCGACCATATCCCTTCATGTCCTACCTAATGATCAGAAGCTCCCAAGTGTGTCAATTGTGGCAGTAATCTGCTGACATGTCACATGTTATTAGCAGGAGGTCATTACGACAACAATGCTAGCCTAGCATTTGTAGTGGAGTGAAAACCAAATACAAACAGACAAAAACTGCTAGTGGTCCATGGTCTCATAATTAGATTTCCAAAGCTGAATGAGAGGGTGAAGATCCAGGTAACATACTCCCCCTCGTCTTAGAGCTATCAAATGGTAGTCTTCTTAAATGAGAATATTAGATCTAACTGTTTCCTAGGCATGATAAATAATAACAGTACGCACTTTTGCAGGTTTCTGGTAATTCTCTGTGTCAATGCTGCTGTCATCCTTTTGTTCAATACCGAGCTCTGGTTTAGTTTTGAAGAAGGATTGCACTTTGGGTCTTTTCTTTTCAGCCACGTACAGAATGTGAGTTTCAGAGTGAGACCACGCAAGACAGCCAAATTGATCTAAATGGCAAAGGCAGACGAAAAGACAACAAGAGCAATCAGAAATTAGTTAATACCTAGCAAAAAAATGTTAATTTTACAAACAGCAATAAAAAAAATTTTCAAATGACCTCAAGAGAAACAACAGATATTTCCACATTAAATATATAACAAAACCCTTTCTGAACCTTGTGACTGGAAACACAAATCAGATAATTAAAACAGCAACTGACAGTGTTACATACCACAATACCATTGTGGACATAGTTATAATAAATCCTGTTATGTTATTTCAGACATGCAAAATTAAACACCCCACAAGTTTGCATTCAGTCAGTTAACTCTATAATCTCTACAATGAGCGAAACAAAACTGTGCCAGCTTAAAATAGCGAACTCTAAACAGGTCTAAACACTCCTTTAACAGAATAAAATGTACCAAATTGCTTCACAGGCTGATGACAAAGTAAGATGTGACATCAAACCATACAAGGAGATATTACATTAGATGCCCAAAAGTCCGGACACAGAGTTAGGTTTTAAGGTGTTCCTTGAAGCAGGAACGCAAGCCCCAGACGTGAGAGGTGTAAAGCTCATAGCCTCAGCAGCTAAAAGCATAGGATTGGCAATATTTGAAAATAAGGATGAGAATGTTGAAATCAAGACATCGCTTTACTGGAAGCCTACATTAGTTGACAAGCTCAGGGGGCTGTCAGATGAACAGGACTGATTCAAGCTGACACAGCAGTTTTGGAGGACCTTAAATTTACAGTGGTTAGATAAAATATGGGAGACCACACATGGGTGCACTGGAATCTAGGTGTAGCAAATGTATAGATGGGGGTTTAGATTGAAAATTTTAAAAATTGGACATTGTTGAAGATTTGGAAATCATCGGTTTAGTCTTTGAAACAAATTGGTGGTTGGAAGCACAGCTTTCATCAAATAGGATACTAAAATTGCAACAAAAACTGATTTGACATCAAAGTGTTGCAAAGGAGGGGAATGGAGTAAAGGAATGCAAACCAAAAACGATAGCTTTAGTTTTGCCAGTATGTAAATGGAAATGTTTGCTCATCACTACATAATTCCCATTCTAGACCTGGTTGAATACTCACATACCATCTTCATATACCTTGCCATGCTTGTCAAGTACTGTCAGGTTTATGCTGCTGTCCTTTGAGGTTTTGCTCCATATCTGTAGAAAACATAAATCATTCAAGACAGAGTGAAACGTGCCTACATTACAGTTAAATAATTGTACACATTGCTTTCAAAATTGCCATAAAATTGATTGCAACACATCTGAAGGCTCCCCCATGATGTCTAGACAACAATGAAGGTGAATAAGTACAATAGTACTTCAAAAGTTCTTCATTTTAATGTAATAGGGCAAGCAATCTGCACACAGAATGACCTCAAAAGCAGCAATGACATGAGTGATCAATTTCTTTTATTGATGCTGTTTGAGGAATAAAGAGCGACAATGGTATCAGGAAAACATGTGTGCTCTTCTTTATGACAGTGACATGAGATATTTTACACCCAGCTAAGAAGGCAGACTCCTCTGTAAAGTAACTAATTAAGCCCCTAAAGTTTAACTCGGGTACTCTTTTGACACAGAAGAGGATTTTTGGTCATCATGTTAGGAGGCTGGCCATTAAATCACAATGTCTTGTCAGTGGCTGGGTAAGCAAGCTTTTTGGATGCCTCCGCTTTGCAAATTAGCTATATTTGCAACAATGTCCCAAACTGTGAGGGACAGTGGTCCAGATCTTGAAAGGCTCTGATGCTTCTGGTCTGTGAACATCTGATCTGTGGTCACTGACCAGAAATGAAGGCACTCCTGCACCACCCCACACTTAAGCACCATTTAGCTCTTACAGTGGGCATACTAATCTCTAATTGACATTGATCTCCAGGCATAGAAACTGTGAACCTGTTCACTGTTTAATTTGAGCAAGGCCTGATGGGCGACCTCCTCTAAAATTGCTTTCAGTGTATGTGCAGATTCACACACTCATTCCTCCAGGATGCAGGATCCAAACATGAGAATTTGACCCTATTTGTAAGACTTACAATATATAATAGTGTATATTGTGTAGTATTTAACATTAATAGTTTTCAAAGGCCCAGGGAACTCTTTTAGATAATGAGTTGGATTGCTATCTTTTATCATTCGGCTGTCTGCGATGCAAGGGTACACAGAGAAATCCACAGTATTTGTTTAAGTTTGTCTGATGTAGAGCTCATCATTTTCCGACTATGGTACAGTCTCCCGACATGATGACTGAACATTTAAGTTGTTAAAAATCAAGGTCTAAGTTCATCAAAAGTTAAGAGTACCAAGTATGTCATGACTACTAGGTCTCTTTTACTTTCGCAATTTTCAGTTAGTCTTTATTTCCTACAACCTACATATGTGATACATCATCATGCAAATCTACAATTACAGTCGAGTAAGAAAAGGTTCACAAGCAGCATCAACACCATCATAAACCTCTTGGGTGAAATGTCCTGTTAATATGCTGACAATTCGATTAAATACACTTTTATACATTTTAGAATAGAAGAGGAATTTAATAAAGTTAAAGTTAACACAAGTGTCAAGTTGGCTGTGAAACATAACCAGACAACGAAGCTTCATGCAAATCTGGACAGTGAATGTCAGTGAGCTATTTATTCCAGAGAGGCATCAAATCTCAGCTAGGCCCAAGACTTTTCATGGAACATCCCTGCATGTACTCATTTCAGTTGAAGGACTGAGTATATCAGGTGTGAAAACACTTTCCATTTTTCTAGCTCAGAGCATTCAGATCAAATTTAGATCTGAGCTGAAATCAGCTAATACACACAGACATGTTGATCAAAAGTAAGAACTTTGCATTCTATCTGGCCCAGTATCATGACCAAGGAGTCCATATTAAAAATAAATAGAACTCTCTTAACACGAAGTTCTTAAATTTATTCTGGTAATTGTACATGTTGCTCAAACATAATGGACAGGAATTTCCTCAATTCTCCAACTCTGGCCTCATGACATCACCAGAAGTGCTATAATTGGGGTCTTCACTGCAATTTTGAGGTTCTTACAACTGCAGAATGAGAGACAGGAAATAGAACATAGAACAGTACAGCGCAGTACAGGCCCTTTGGCCCACAATGTTGTGCCGAACTTTTACCCTAAACCTAAGGTCTATCTAACCTCCATCCCTACCATATACTATCATCCATATGCCTATCTAGTAGCCGCTTAATTGCCCTTAACGAGGCCGACTCCACTACCCTCTCCAGCAATGCACTCCACACCCCGACCACTCTCTGAGTAAAGTACCTACCTCTGACGTCTCCCCTATATCTACCTCCACTCACTTTAAAACTATGCCCCCTCGTAATACCTCCACCCTAGGAAAAAGTCTCTGGATGTCCACTCTATCTATACCTCTGATCATTTTGTACACCTCTATCAAGTCACCTCTCATCCTTCATCGTTCTAAAGAGAAAAGCCCTAGCTCTCTCAACCTTTCCTCGTAAGACCTTCCCTCCATTCCAGGCAACATCCTGGTAAATCTCCTCTGCACCTTTTCCAATGCTTCCACATCTTTCTTGGAATGAGGCGACCAGAACTGGACACAATACTCCAGATGTGGCCAAACCAGGCTTTTCTATAGCTGGAGCATAACTTCACAGCTCTTGAATTCAATCCCTCTATTAATGAAAGCTAACACACCATACGCCTTCTTAACAACTCTATCCACCTGGGTGGCAGCTTTCAGGGAACTGTGGACATGAATCCCAAGATCCCTCTGCTCTTCCATACTGCCAAGAATCTTTCTGTTAACCCTGTATTCTGCTTTCAAGTTTGTCCTTCCAAAATGAATCACCTCATACTTTTCAGGGTTAATCTCCATCTGTCACTTCTCAGCCCAGCTCTGCATCCTATCAATGTCCCTTTGTAACCTAGAACAGCCCTCCGCACTGTCCACAACTCAACCCACCTTCATTTCGTCCTCGAACTTACTAATCCACCCTCCCACTCCTACATCCAAATCATTCACAAAAATCACAAATAGAAGAGGACTCAGAACAGATCCTTGTGGTACACCACTCGTAACTGAACACCATGTTGAATAATTTCCGTCCACTACCACCCTTTGTCTTCTAAGGGTCAGCCAATTCTGAATCCAATCTGCCACATTTCCCTCTATCCCATGCCTCCTTACCTTCTGCATGAGCCTACCATGGGGAACCTTATCAAACACCTTACTTAAATCCATGTATACCACATCCACTGCTCTACCTTCGTCCATGTGTTTGGTCACTTCTTCAAAGAATTCAATAAGGTTTGTGAGGCATGATCTACCCCTCACAAATCCATGCTGACTATCACGAATCAAACTGTGCCTATCCAAGTGATCATAAATCCTATCTCTCAGAGCCCTTTCCAATAATTTGCCCACCACTGAAGTAAAACTAACTGGCCTGTAATTTCTGGGGTTATCCTAATCCCTTTTTTGAACAAGGGAATGACGTTTGCCACTCTCCAATCTTCCGGCACTATACCCGTGGACAGTGAGGACGAAAAGATCGTCGCCAAGGGCCCTGCGACCTCTTCCCTCACTTCCCATAGAATCCTTGGACAAATTCCGGGGGATTTACCTATCTTCAAGTTCCTCAAAATTCCTAGTACATCTTCCTTACTAACATCGACCTACTCTAGCCTACCAGCCTGTTTCACACTGTCCTCCCCTACAACTAGGTCCCTCTCAGTTGTGAATACCGAAGAAAAGTATTCATTAAGGACCTCTCTTATCTCTTTAGGCTCCGTGCACAAATTCCCTTTACAATCCTTGATCGGCCCTACCCTTTCTCTGGTCATTCTCTTATTCCTCACGTACGTGTAAAAAGCCTTGGAGTTTTCTTTGATCCTATCTGCCAAGGTTTTCTCATGCCCCCTTATAGCTCTCCTAAGCCCTTTCTTCACCTCCTTCCTGGCTAACTTGCATCCCTCTAGAGCCTTTTCCGATCCTTGTTTCCTAAACCTTAAATAAGCATCCTTCTTCCTCTTAACCAGTCGTTCGACCTCTCTCAAGAACCAAGGCTCCCTCACTCGATCGCATCTTCCCCGCCTGCTAGGGACAAACATATCGAGCACACGCAGTATGCATTCCTGAAACAATCTCCACATTTCTGTGGTGCTCTTCCCTGACAGCATCTGTTCCCATTTTATGTTACCTAGTTCTTATCTAACAGAATTATAATTACCCTTCCTGCAATTATAAACCTTACCCTGCTGTATGTACCTATCCTTTTCCATGACTATTGTAAAAGTAACAGACTTATGATCGCTACCGCCAAAATGCTCTCCTACCAACAGGTAGGCCCGGTTCATTGCCAAGCACCAAATCCAAAGTGGCCTCTCCTCATGTTGGTCTATCTACATACTGTGTCAGGAATCCTTCCTGAATGCACCGGACAAAATCCGCTCCATCTAAACTATTACAACTAAAAAGTTTCCAATCAATATTTGGAAAGTTGAAGTCACCCATGGCTACAACTCTGTGACTTCTGCACCTTTCCAGTATCTGCCTCCCAATCCACTCTTCCACTTCTCTGCAACTATTAGGGGGTCTGTAAAAAAAACCCCAACAAAATGACTGCTCCTTTCTTGTTCCTGACCTCAACCCAAACTGACTCTGCAGGCATATCATTCTCGAACTGCCTTTCAGTAGCTGCTATACCAGCCCTGACTAACAATGTCACTCCCCAGCCTCTTTTACCATCCTCCCTATTTCTTTTAAAGCATCTAAATCCCGGAACTTCCAACAACCATTCCTGTCCCCGAGTTACCCAAGTTTCTGTAATGGCCACAACATCGTAGTTCCAAGTACTGACCCATCTTCTAAGTTCATCTGCCTTATTTCTGATACTTTTACCAATTATTCAAATATTCACCAATATCCCCAATTATTCAAAACAATGAGAATGTAGTGGTCAAATCAGAGTTCAGGAACAATCTGCATTTAAGTCAAAATTGAAAATTTACTGGCACAAGTAGTTTTCACTCTGAATGAAAGCAACAATCATCAAAAAGATTCTGTTGCACACGAGCACTAGAAATTCTAAACCCAAAAAAAGGCAATTTCGATTAAGTCAGTTGAGTGGTATAGGTGGCCTGAGGGGCCAAATGGCTAAATTCCTGTTTCTACTTTAAGTTTGCATGCACTCAAGGTATCAACCCTTCTCATTCAATTCTTTCCAGCTACTTCACTTCCTGAGAATAATTTCTGCAGCAATTTGCCTGCACGCGAACACAAAATCATCTGGTGCAGGAGTGCAACATTATTTATAATGGATGGCATGGTGGATCAGTCAACAGCACTGCTGCCTCACAGTGCTAGCTAGGGACCTAGATTCAATTCCAATCTCGGGTGATTGTCTGTGTGGAACTTGCATGTTCTTCCCATGTCTGTGTGGGTTTCGTCTGGGTGCTCCGGTTTCCTCCCACAGTCCAAAGATGTGCAGGTTAGGTGGATTGTCCATGCTAAGTTGCCTACAGTGCCCAAAGAAATACAGGGTTACAGAGACAGGGTAGCGGGTGGGTCTGGGTGGCATGCTCTTTGGAAGGTCAGTTTGGACTTAATGGGAATGAATGGCCTGTTTCCACACTGTAGAGATTCTATGATTTATCTCAAATCAGCTATCTTCCTTGGCTGATAAAGTCCCAACACTTCTACTGGGCAATCATTTAAATTAGCCAAAAATTTGCTAAAGCTTTTCATTCCATAATCAATAATGTTGCAACTTAGTTGCCACTTATATCCCAAACAAACTGGGCACAAACAAATTCACCCGAGACATCTGAAATTCCCTCCTCCAAAACGGTCTTTTTTTGCTTGTTCATAGGATATAGATTTTACTGGCTATATCAGCATTTATTGGCCATTCCTCGCCTACCCTGGAATTAATTGGCTTGCTATGTCATTTCATACAGCAGTGAAGAGTCAATTAAATTGCTGTGTGTCTGGAAACACATGGAGACTCGACCAGGTAAAGACAGCTGATTTCCTTCCGTAAGGACATTAATGAACCCGGTAGGCTTTTTAAAAAAATTAAAATCAACAGTAAGAAGAGAAATGCATGCATTTAATGCATTAATTAGGTTAGCTTTTCAATTCCAGATCTCTACTGAATTCAAATTTCAATACCTGCCATGGTGGAATTTGAATCCAGAACATTAGAGCCTGGGGTTCTGGATTACTAGCCTCGTGACATTATCACTATGCCACTACCTCCTCTTAAACTGTTCAGGTTAGGTTAATTGTAAATTTTAAATCTGAGACAGATAGATTTTTGCTTGGCAAGGGCAGTAGAGTTTACTTAACTAACAGACAAAATGAAGATATAGATCAGCCGTGGTCTAACTGAATAGCCAAACAGAATCAAAGGGCCATTTCTTTGTTCCACACTGCAATACACAGTTTAAGATGCAACTTTTTTTTAAACCATGTTTAATCTCATCTAACTGTTGCTGGTTTACAGCTCATACTATGTAGCAATATCTATAGGAATACACATACACAGGAAGTAAATAGTACCTCTTTAAAATCCAGTTATCTTGTGTACTTAATTCCCTCTAAATGGCATGTGATTACAGCTTCCATTGTGATTTGCAAGTTTTATCCATTTCTAATAGCATAACCTTTTTTAACCTTGCAATGTATGTAGCAGGTGAATCACATTAGCATCAATGCAGCTGCTTTAAGTGGTGAGGTATGTATTTTCATAATCCCAGAAAATCAAAAACCATTATGCTTCACATAATAAATTATGGTTCCTAGTGCAGCATATCCTTACAGAATAATTTTATAAATTGAAACGGCTCAGCAGTTAGCATCGCTGCCTCACAGCATCAGGGACCCAGGTTCAATTCCACCTTTGGGCGGCTGTCTGTGTGGAGTTTGCACATTCTCCTTGTGTCTGCATGGGTTTCCTCCAGATGTTCTGGTTTCTTACCACAGTCCAAAGGTGTGCAGGTTAGGTGGATTGGCCATGGGAAATGCAGGGTTACAAGGGCAGGGTAAAGGGGTGGGTTTGGGTGGGATGGTCTGCAGAGGGTCAGTGTGGACTTGATGGGCTGAATGGCCTGGTTCCACACTGTAGAGATTCTATCATTCTAGTGGTTGTTAAGGAATTGATAATGAATCTGCACATATTAGCACACATTAAAATGTATGGAGCGGCTGCATCCAGTGCCATGGTACATACTAGCTGATCGCACACAAGTGCACACACTAATCCATGATATCCTTACCTCCAGAAATTGCTGTTCTTCCCCCTTATTGTTGGTATGCCCCCTGAGAACAGCTTTCCAAGTGCCAGAGGGTGAATCTCTATTCAGCAATCTGAAAGTCAAAGTTTAGAATGATGTTAGACTCAACATTCAAACTTCTTGTCTTACAGTGCAAATTTACAATCCTATCAGTTAATATTTCAAGTTTGACATGCCATTCTAATACAGTAAAGAATATCAAAATACTTTAATGAATTAGTAGAATTAGATCCAGAATTGTTTTATTCTTTCATTCTCATTCTTACCAATGACACCAAGACAATAAACTGATCAATGTATAAGGAATTACAATAATTATGTCACTAAATCAGACACAAAGGAGATCACAAAATTATAGAAACTTACAACAAGGGAAGTGGAGCTAATTTTGGTTCTTTGAAGGAGCAGTTGTGATCAGCCCCACGTTCTCAGTTTTTACTTGTAACCATGGAAGTTTGTCATCCCTTACACACTTGTTCAACTGTCTTAAATTATTTACGGAATCAAATTCCACCGCCTTTTCACTATATCATTCAAGATCCTGGCAACTTAGTAAAAACAAGGTTAAGATGTTCGATTCCAATATCTGGTCCATATCAGTTTGATACTAACCAGCACGTTAAGTCATATCATAGCTCCCCAGATGAAACACTTCAGTTAAACTGGTCAGAAATACAGCTTTTATCAACAGTCAACGACCTCTTGATATCTGCAATGGCACCGCCCTGGTTATACTCACTCGCCCCGTAATTCCATACAACTTCCTGAAGGACCAGCATGCACAATGGAATTTTCATTGTAGAAAACAAAATACTTCCGACACAACTTCATCCACTCAGCTCGTTCTAGATCTCTCTGGGACCATTCTGCAACAGAAAGTAAGCACCATCACTCCTCATCTGTTCGAGGCATGAAAAACAGAAACTCTCAACAAAGACATAGTGACAGGGGGAAGGAGTAGTTCTTTCAGTGACACTGTAAGAATACTGCAACCCATGTAAGTCACTTGTAATTGATTTACAAGTGCCCTTGAGAGATGTAGAGACACAGACTGATCTAATAAGACCGATCCTTGACATAAATTCAAATGCAAGACAAAAGTACTTTTGAGATGCATTGGCATTGCTAAACCCTTTTTTGTATAAAGACAATGCATCTATAATTTTCATTGCCATTGCTAAATAAAGTTCCATCTTAAGATGGACAAACTCTCTTTACAAGACTTCATCTAGACATTTAATAATTTTGACCATATTATCTTATCTCACTTAACCTTAAAAACTATAGAAATTAATAATAGCATTTGTGTCTATCCACATACCAACATAAACCCATACATATTTCCATTGCATTTTGTATGACCACCATGCTATCTCAAGCACTTAAATGTCAAACAGGGAAGCTAGGGATAATGGAGACATTCATAAAGAGCATGAGGTAATCCATTTGGTTCATTTTCCCTTCTATGAAAATATTCAGTTTGAGATGCTATAGCTTAGATAAATTTTACAATGGGATAGGTGGAGCAAACTAAAAGAATCTCATTTTCTCTACATTAATTTTAACAAATTTGTACATATAAAACTTGCATAGATCTTTTAAAAAATCATTCTGAGAAGTAGGTGACATGGTGAAGGCCCATCCTTAGCTACCGAGAACAATAAGACGCAACTCAGAATGAGGATGATTGATTGATACAAATAGGTTTTCATTCCGATACTTTTCACGAGCATTCTTTTGATGCAAGCGACCTCACAAATCAGATTAATTGATTCTAATTTTACAACTTGATAGATTGTGTTGTTTAATAGCACAATGACTCCACTGTGCTATTACTATGACTGAACAGAACATGACAGGATCACAGAATTGTTAAGGCACAAAGGTAGTCATTCGGTCTATCACGTCTGCATGAGCTCCTCAAATGAATAATGTCTTTATTGCCATTCTTCCATCTTCTTTCCAGAACCCTGCATATTATTCCTTCCCAAATAACTGTTTAATTCCTTCAGGTGCCTGGAAAGACCTTGCGTCCACCACGTACTCAGTGCATTTCAGACATAACTACTTGATGTATGAAAAAAACTCTCTCGCATATTGTTTTTGTTTCTTTTGAGAATTACTTTAAATCTGTGCCTGCTCATTGTCAATTCTTCCACAAATGGAAAGAGTTTCTCCATCCCTACTCTATCCAGAGCCCTCAGTATTTTTGGCTACCTCCATCAAATCTCCTCTCAACCTTGCTTTCTCCAAAGAAGACAGTCTTCACCTCTCCATTCTCGTGAATCTTTTCTCCATTGGTTAAAAACAACAAAAGTGCTTTATCCCTTGCAAAACCTATAAATTAGATTTTAGGACAAAGAGAAGGCACAATGCGATCAACGCATACATCTTGATGTTACTCCTTATATAATCAGAATCATTAATGTACCTGAGTAGATGTTGCAGTACTTTCCCCCGTGCTTCAAAGTAACCTGTGGACCAATGCAGCCTTTCAGTGGAGTTGGGAATTTGCTGATTTCTTGGTAGATCCCAGCAATCTCTTCTGAATCAGTTATCATCTCCAATAAAAAGGAAGACAGTTCTTTTAACAAGTCATTTTGTATGCCGGAATTTATACTGAATAACAATTATAGCAGTTACAATTTAAATCCTGTGTCAAATCCTAAACTGCAAGCAGAATTATGTCCCTGTTTGGAAACAGTTGCTATTTTTGGTACCTATAATGCTCAACATTTGTGAGGTTTCATGTCACAGCTGCAGAAAATGCGAGTTCCTGGATATCACTGTTATCCACAGCAAACACGTCTGTACTAATTCTCTGCAGCTCTATCAACTTTGGCTGAGAGCTCGTGAGCTGGAGGGTAAACTACAGACTACAGCATATCGAGTAGGGATGAGTTACCTGGACACTTTATTTCATGAGATGATCACATCAGCATTTGTAGTTGTCCTACAGGTTTGAGGTTCTTTCAGCTTGTCTAAATATGATTGAGCACTGCAGGTTAGATGAGCTAACTGTCTATGGCTCTGTTCTATTGTACAGGAAGTCATTCAAGTGAGGGAAGCAAAATGTAATGTAGTGGTAGCAGAGTACAGTTCTGTGATAAGAATTGATAGTGTTCTTTGCAGCAAAAGCGGTATTTCTAGAAAGATGTGTTATTATCTGGTGCCAGGGTTTGAGACATCAACTCAGAGCTGGAAAGGAACCTAGAGTGAGAGAAAGACAATCCAGGCATTGTGGTACATGGAGAGATCAATAACAGAGGATGGGGAAGGAAAGCAGTCTGCAAATTCAGTAATAAGCTTCAATCAAAAAGCAGCGCCTCAAAAGGTCATAATCTCTGGCATAAGTACTGGGGAACTGACATTAGTACTGGGGAAAGTGAATCTGTAGTACTGGAACTGAAGTATGCTGCATTTATAACATGTAAAATTCCCTATTAATGTCTACTGACAAGAATGATCAAAAATCTCAAAGTTATGGGTTGAACAGAAATAAATAATAGAAAAGGAAAATATCACAAAATGGAAAAATATTGAAAGAACAGCTTGCATCGATGAATGGGATACAGACAGTCTTCACTGCCATTCCTCCATCCCTTGCAAACATGTCCAATTGGGAGAGTGAAAGACAACTACTGCCTGAAATTCTCATTTAGTATTATTCTGTTGTCATCAATTCCGAAATTATTTCATATACATGACCAAGTCATGACTTATCTATATTGTGGGTTTAATAAAATTCTAAGGAACACACTAAACGATTCCAAAATCCCATTCAAATATAAAAGGTTATGGAAGATAAAATACAATATTCATATCTGGATTCTCTTCTAATTTGTGAAATCTATCATATTTGGTTTGGCCACTTTTGGAGCATTGCGTACAATTCTGGTCTCCCTCCTAAGGGAAGAATATTGTGAAACAAAAAGGGTTCAGAAAAGATTTACGAGGATATTGCTGGTGATGGAGGATCTGAGTTATAGGGAGAGGCTGGATAAGCTTAGGCTATTTTCCCTGGAGTGTCGGAGGCTGAGGGGTGACTTTATAGAGGTTTACAAAATCATGAAGGACATGGATAAGGTAAATTGGGTAAGGTCTCTTGCCCAGAATGGGGGAGTCCAAAACTAGAGGGAATAGGTTGAAGGTGAGGGGGAAGTTATAAAGGTGACCTAAGGGACAACTTTTTCACACAGAGGGTGGCGTGTGTATGGAATGAGTTGCCAGAGGAAGTGGCGAAGGCTGGTATGATTACAATATTTAAAAGGCATCTGGATGGGTATATGAATAGGAAGGGTATAGGGAGATATAGGCAAAATGCTGGCAAATGGGATTAGATTTATATAGGATATCTGATCAGCATGTATGGGTTGGACTGAAGGGTCTGTTTCCATGTTGTACATCTCTATGACTCTGTAGGGGTGACCTATATCTGGCCATGTAAGGTGATTTGTGCCTGACCACAATAAGCAGCCCATGCCAGCTTACAAGATGGCAGACAGAAGCTAAGCAAAAGTAAACAGCCTGCTCACACAGTGAAATACAGTGGTACCTTTGAACAGAACTGCTGGAAGATCGGTAAAAGAACGCTGTGTGTTCCCATCTAAGATAGATCTGACAAAAGGATGCCTTAGGCCAGGTAAATGACCAATTCTAGCCTTATTAATGAAAGGATGATTGTCCCAGTAAATGAATAACATCAGGTGCTAGATTAAGTCCCTAAGCAGCTACAAGGATGACAGCTAAAGTTATTTCATAGTAAGTAGTTGCTTCGTTGAAGCTACCTGCAGTATTAAATAGTTTCTCGTTAAAACTGCTTTAATCATACAAGTTGGTTTCAATACATAGCCAGAATATAATACAAGCATTTAAAAAAAATTTAAGCCGAGATGTGAAGGTTAACTAGCCTTAGGAGATGCCTTTTCTTATGCCCTGAAGAAGACAGATTGCTCACAACCCATAAATTTCAAAATGCTAACAGAAGTAGTTGTATAATGTTACACTTTATAATTAACTTTATAACAGAAATTAACCTTATAGCAATTAGTTAAAACTAACTGACTTATTATTTTAACATTACGTAACTGGGAGAGTGGGAAATATTAGAGGAATGGCTGGATTTGATAAAATAAAATGTATGTAGTGCAATGAAGAATAGAATTCACACTGTCCTTAGAGATTAGAAGCCTAAAACACACCCAAAGGAGTGTAGCCAGCAATCTTTTGGAATGTGAACTTATAGGATGCTGAGAAAGTTCCCAAGACCTAGCAATTACAAATACCCTAAGAGCATGGGAACCTGGGGCTGTTTGTAGGAATGCCCGTCATCAATTAGGTGAGCCATGGGATTGGGTGCATGGATTAAGAGGGAAGGACAGTGACCACGTGGTATTTGATCATTGTAATAAAGTGTATAAAATGTATATTTTCACTGTAAAAATCAGAATGTGTCATTGATCTCCCTTCCAATTCGGGGAAGATTCTTTGGCTCTCTCCCTGCATCAACCAGTTTCTGCTTGAATAAACATGTTCCACTTGCCTGCCTCCTGAGTCCTTATACCGGCGGTGGCGGTGGCGGCGGCGGGGTGGCGGGGGTGCTACGGATTCTATGACTCTATATTTCTTTAACCTTAAGTCTATAATTCAGCTCAGTGTCACAAGAAAGCAGTTCAGTACCTCAAATTACATATGTTTGTGGCAAATGACATATCTGAACAAAAGAATAACTACAGATAAAGCTTGCAAGTTTATTTGCAAACCATTACTTACTTAGTTAATAAAAGCAAAAGACCACAGATGCTGGAAATCTGAAGCGAGCGGGGAGCGAAATCTGCAGGGCTGCCAGTATCTGTGCAGAGAGAAACAAAGATCATGTTTCAAAGATAGTAGGAACTGCAGATGCTGGAGAATCCGAGACAACAAGGTGCAGAGCTGGATGAACACAGCAGGCCAAGCAGCATCAGAGGAGCAGGAAGGCTGACGTTTCGGGCCTAGACCCTTCTTCAGAAATGGGGGAGGGGAAGGGGGTTCTGCCCAACCTTAACTTCACCTGGACCATCTCTAATACCTCTCTCTCCTTCCTGGACCTCTCTGTCTCCATCTCGGGCAACCACCTAGAAACCGATATCCATTTCAAGCCCACTGACTCCCACAGCTACCTAGAATACACCTCCTCCCACCCACCTTCCTGCAAAAATGCTATCCCCCATTTCCAATTCCTTCGCCTCCGCCGCATCTGCTCCCAGGATGAGGCATTCCACTCCCGTACATCCCAGATATCCTCGTTTTTCAAGGACCACAACTTCCCCCCCCAGTGGTCGAGAACGCAACTCATCCCTCACACCCCATCCCCGCAATAACAACCAAAAAAGAATCCCCCTCGTCCTCACGTTCCACCCCACCAACCTCTGGATCCAACGCATCATCCTCCGACACTTCCGCCATCTGCAATCCGACCCCACCACCAAAGACATTTTTCCTTCCCCACCCTTATCTGCTTTCCGGAGGGACCACTCTCTCCGTGACTCCCTTGTCCGCTCCACACTCCCCTCCAGCTCCACCACACCCGGCACTTTTCCCTGCAACCGCAGGAAGTGCTACACCTGCCCCCATAACTCCTCCCTCACCCCCATCCCAGGCCCCAAGAAGACTTTCCACATCAAGCAGATGTTCACCTGCACATCTGCTAATGTGGTATACTGCATCCGCTGTACCCGTTGTGGCCTCCTCTACATCGGGGAAACCAAGCGGAGGCTCAGGGACCGCTTTACGGAGCCTCCGCTTGGTTCGCAATAAACAACTGCACCTCCCAGTCGCGAACCACTTCAACTCCCCCTTCCATTCCTCAGACGACATGTCCATCCTGGGCCTCCTGCAGTGCCACAACGATGCCACCCGAAGGTTGCAGGAACAACAACTCATATTCCGCTTGGGAACCCTGCAGCCCAATGGTATCAATGTGGATTTCACAAGCTTCAAAATCTCCCCTCCCCCTACCGCATCCCAAAACCAGCCCAGCTCGTCCCTGCCTCCCTAACCTGTTCTTCCTCCCACCTCAAGCCACACCCCCATCTCCTACCTACTAACCTCATCCCACCCCCTCGACCTGTCCGTCCTTCCTGGAATGACCTATCCCCTCCCTAACTCCTCACCTACACTCACCTTTACTGGCTCCAACCCAGCCTCTTCGATCTGTCTGTTTCCTCTCCACCTATCTTCTCCTCTATCCATCTTCTGTCCGCCTCCCCCTCTCTCCCTATTTATTTCAGAAACCCCTTCCCCTCCCCCTTTTCTGATGAAGGGTCTAGGCCCGAAACGTCAGCCTTCCTGCTCGGCCTGCTGTATTCATCCAGCTCTGCATCATGTTTCAAGTTTGGTATGGCTCTTCTTCAAAACTTATTTACTTAGTATTACTTTCAGTCACCATCATAAGCACTAAAACCTATGCAAACAGCATTATAGCATGGGAAGGACATTATTCAGACTGCCCTGGATCAATCATCCTGAAATACACTGGGCAAAAAAAATCTCACAACACCAAAACGATGTAACCTTGGATGTAACAAATAAACTTTCACAAGCCTCGTAAACAATAAACAGCTGTCTAACTTAAAAGAGTGCCTTTAAATCATATGCAAGCGTCGTGTGGTCAGTTTACTTCATTATTTCCAGTGATGTGAAAACTTTGAACGGTACCTAAGTCCTACAGTCAACAAAAAATGATGTAAACTGGGACAGGAACTGTACAATTACTAGTGCTAAGGAACGTTTTCCTGTGATTATCAGGAGCGCATGTGAACTCTGACAATGTTTTGATTGCGAACACTCACTTTCGGAACTCTTTGAAGAGGAATAACTGGTCAAGCTACCAACAGCTCATACGCCCGTCCCCCAGATACACACTGCGCCTGCGCCAACTGCCTCTCGTGACATCACTCGCACGCGGTGGCTGGACGGGGTTAACGTTCAGACGTTCCCACTGGGCAAGCAGAGGGGTGCATCAGTCAGCCAACCACAACATTTCGACAACTATCGACTCGCAATAGCAGGCAACCACACTTAAAGCATTAAGTTCACTGAATGTTTCGGTGATTGTGGTTTCAGCAGAAAGATATTGTTGAGTTATTGCTTACTGAATGCAGTCAATATTTCTGGTCCTCCCTCCATGTCTGCGTGCTGTTGATATATTCTCACCCTTCCCGGGCTTAGGGAGGCGGGGGTTTGAGGGTGGGCTGCTCAGTAACCATAGAAACCATGGCCTCAGAGGTAAGAGAGATATGGAGTCTTCTATCTGCTCCGTCCTTGTTGATCTGCGGCGCCTTTTATTTGGTTTGTGCTGGTAGGGGTGTAGCTGGGGCACCGGGGACAGCCCGATCCACTCCCAAACCTGCTACGAAAATTCCAGACAACAAGGTGCAGGGCTGGATGAACACAGCAGGCCAAGCAGCATCATAGGAGCAGAGAGGCTGACGTTTCGGGCCTCGACCCTTCATCAGATTTGCGGCCCAGTCTGTCACAGGGCAGCCTGCCGTTCACTCCCCGGGGAAGAGGAAAGCAGGAATCCGGGGATCAAGACCAGCTTCTGAAGACCGGCGGTATTTGACCCTGAATCGTCCTGCCCAGTGCTTATCCCCTCCTTCAGCCACTCCTGCAGATTTATCGGTGCATTTATCCCTTTGCTGTCTGTGATACCTGTATTGGCAGTTTACGCTGCATGACCTTCCCAGACTGTGCATGTAACAAGTGCTGGGACGTCTTGACGTTGTGAAAGATAGGTGTTTTTATTTTGTTAAATCCGTTTTCCTTTGTCTGATTCTGCATATAGTCATACAGCACGGAAGCAGACCCTTCAGTCCACGCCGAACATAATCCCAAAATAAACTATCCCACCTATCTGCTCCTGGCCCATATCCCTCCAAATCTTTCCTATTCATGAACTTTCCTAAGTATCTTTTAAACGTTATGACTGTGCCCGCATCCCACTTCCATAGCAAGTTTAACCACTCTGTGTTTTTAAAAAAAAAGCCCCTCATGTCTTTTTTTTAAAATGTCCTATCATCTTAAAAAATATGCCCTCTAATCTTGAAATCCCCCATCCTAGGGAATACACATCCCTAGCCTTATCTATGCCCCTCATGATTTTATAAACCTGTATAAGGTCACCCCTCAACCTCCTATGGTCCAGTGAAAACAGTCCCAGTCTATCCAGCCTTTCCTGGTAACTCCTACCTTCCATTCCGAGCAACATGCTGGTAAATCTCTTCTGAACCCTCCCCAGCTTAATCATATCCTTCCTTTCACAGGACTTCATGGTACATCCAATCGAATTGTAAAACTCAGGTTGGCAGGATAGTGTTAAGTAGTTGTATTTGGGTTGAATGAAAATGGAGAAACTCAGCAAGTCTGGCAGCATATTTGAGGGAAAACAAAAGAGTTTCTACTATCCACAGTTCTTTGTTTTTTGAATTTGGTTTGGATTCTGAAAAGCTTTTGCAATACTTGCTTGGGTTAGAATAAGCAAAATGGTATTTGGCAGTTATTCTTTGGTGTGGCACAGTTTTTTGTGGCTAAAGTTGGCCAAACCTTTCTTCTTTTTACCTTCTTTGTTGTTCACATCTGCCATTTAACCACTGTTCATTTTCAGATAAAGATTTTAAACATTGATTTTCTTTTACTGTCTGTGCCTTAAGCTGAATGCACCACATCTTCCCCCTTTAATTTGGTTCATTTTCTTCCTGAAAAAGACTTCCCAACCCAAGACGGGACTTGTATGATCTGCTGAAGATTTCTAGTATTTTCTGATTTTTTTAGGTAATGTAGAGAAGATGCTGAAACCTCCGATGAGAAATTTGTGCTGATTTGAGAATTGACATGGTTTTGTCATGACTAAATCCTGCCTTAACAAATCTAACTATTTTTGGGCAAGTAGCTGGAACAGTAGATGTGGAAGTGTCAAATGTATGGAGTTTATATGGACATCCAGTTGCATTTCGTAAGTTTACAGACAAAGAATTCTGAACTAACATTAAAATTCAGGAACCTGAAGGCAAATTATTGACTTGGTTGAAAGATTTGCTGTGCAATCAAGACAATAGAAATAATGGGTATGCAGTCAAAAGGGGTGGAATTTAGTGTCTTTCAAGGACCTATGCTGGAGCTTTTTGTTTTCGCTACTTATTAATGACATTGACAGCTCAATAGATAACTATTGCATAAATGCTGCCCCACCCCCCCCCACCCCATGCTTCATGTCAGCTCTGATGAAGAGTCATCTGGACTGAAACATTAGCTTGCTTTCTCTCCATGGATGCTGCCTGACCTGCTGTAATCTCCGGCGTTTTTTTGTTTTCAGAAAACTATTCATCTAAGTTTGTCAATTCCACAAATCTTGGTAAGCAGCTCATTCTAAATTCTCACACACACAAAAATTGGTACCTTAGTTGAGTGGGCAAAACTTTGGCAGTTGAATATGAATGCAGTCAAGTGTGAGGTCATGTGTTTTGGACCAAAAAAAGCATAACGTTAATGTGTTGCACAAACATGACTTAAGAACAGGAGTCAACCAGTTCAGCCTGCTCTGCCATTCAAAGCAATTATGGTTGACTTGATTATTCCACATTCCTGCATGTCCCTGAAAGCTTTTCAACTCCTTATCAAGAATCTATCTCCTCTGTCTTGAAAATATTTGAAGACTCTGCTTTCATCATCTTTTGAGGAAGTAAGCTCAAAAGATTCATTGTCCTTTTTGAGGTGAAAAAATTCCTCATCTTTATCTTAAATGGATGACGCCTTATTCTGAAACAGTGACTCCTTGTTCTAGATTCTCCCGCAAGAAGGTACATTCCTTCTATATGTACTTCAAGATGTTTTAGTCAAGTAGTCCCTTACTCTTCTAAAACTCCAATGGGTACAAGCCTCTATGTCCAACCTATACTCCTAAGACAATCTGCCCATTCCAAGTATTAATCTAGTAAGCCCCCTCTGAGTTGCTTCCAATGTGTTTGCATCCTTCATCAAATCAGGAGACCAACGCAATATTCCAGATGTGTTCTCGTTAATACTCTGAATAAATAAAGCATGACCGCCTTACTTTGTATTCAATTCCACTTTCAATAAATGATAAAAACCAAAAGAACTGTGGATGCTGCAAATCAGGAACAAAAGTAAAGTTGCTGGAAAAGCTCAGCAGGTCTAGCAGCATCTGTGAAGGAGAAAACAGAGTTAACGTTTCGGGTCGAAGGACCCTTCACCAGATGCTGCCAGACCTGCTAAGCTTTTCCAGCAACTTTGTTTTTGTTCAATAAATGATATTTTATTAGCCTTCCTACTTACTTGATGTACTCTGTACTAATACTAACCTTTCACAATTCATTCACATGGGCACCAAGATCCCTCTGCATCTCAGAACTC